AACGAGCGATTCGATCCCGGTAAGACTCCAAAAAGTGAGCACGTGGATTTCAAGATTGGTCTGCTCAAATGAGCCACCATCTTGCGGGGGCGTGTTAAGGGATATAATCCCACATCGAATAAAGATGTTGACACAGACCAATTAATAAAGATCTTGGGCTACTCCTCTTAATAAGGTTGACCTTTTAAGATGGACCCCCAAATCTTAATAGTTATTCTACAAGTTCCTGTGAGCACATTGAAATTTCTAAATAAAATTGACACGTATAGAGCCCCCACTTTACTTTCTCGATCGTGAAATTTTCTGGGAAAAGGAAATTCAATAAATCTTTAAGTTTAATTTTTTTTCCCCGATGAAAAAAAAAAAAAACTGCACATACTCTGATTTTTAGCATCTGTTCTTTGGCTTCAGAGCGCTTTCCAAGATCGGCGGAATAACGGAAGCGGCGGCGGCGGTTCTTCACTAGTCCGACCGCCTTCCGCCAACGCATAAGAGCCTCATCCGACCGGTCCTTGTTCGACAAATCGAACTCTTTTGGTATTAGCTTTTCCATTTGCTTGAATCACAGTTCCAGCAGTGCAAGATCCATTTGAGGACGGCAAATTGAAGTCATTTTGTACACACCGTGCAACGCGGGACGAGAACAGAGCGAGTATATCATAGAACACGGTTTTAACGCGGTCCTTTTTTCCTTCAGAACCTTCCTTTCAACGTACACTAAAGAAAAAGAGAAACAGAAGAAGAACAATGCGCAGCAATTTCGTGGAAAATTACAACGCAATTATGGTTTGGTCAAATCTCTAAATTTCTGTTAATTGGAGGAATTGGAATCTGTTATGGGATTTGAATAAATCTGACAATCCATGTTTGGTCAATATCTGATTTAGCATTGTCAAACATTGTTATCTATTTCTTTTTCAACTTTTATTAATTTTTATCAGATTTTAGCCCCTGTTTGACATCCATTTTTGAGAAAAAATAAATTCTGAAATAGTGATTGATGGAAGAATACGTGGTTAAAAAGTAATGAGAATTTTTGGGTTTATGTGTAATATTATTTTATTAATAGAATATGTGGTTGAAATGAAAAAAGAGAAAAAAAATATGAGAAAGAGAATGAGAAGAAAATGGGTGTCGAACGATTTTCACTAAATAAGGGCTCATGGTATATTTTTATGGAAGAGCTTATTGAGAGATAACTTTTAAAATAATTATTAAAACATACATAAAAGAAGCTTCTTAGGGTCGAAAGCATTTTTTAACTTTTTAAAAGCATTATCAAACCGACCTGAATATTTACATAACAAGTTTGCTCAATTTATAGTCTATCCATGATGGTAGTTATTCATTAGGGATGTTACTTTGGTGACTTTGAGTCTAAATTTGAACTAGAAGTATAAATCGAGCCATTATATGAATGTAATTTGAATATGTATTTTTTTTTTTTACAAGATATGACTTATTTTACGCCCCGTTTAATTCATATTCTTACAAAAATTTATTTTTTCAAAACTCATTTTTAACCACACATTTTTCAATAAAATAATATTAGACGCAAATCCAAAAATTTTCTTTTATTTTTTAACTACATACTTTCCATCAAATCACTATTTAAAATACATTCTTAACTCAATAATGTACATCAAACACCTCCTTAATTTGGTGCTCAAGCTCCCATCACATACGGAGTTATATGCTATGCAAATGCTTCTTGGAGAAAGCCATAATAATTTGTTAAGATTAAACTTGAAGAACTTGAGTTCAAAGTGAATAAAGTTAATTTATTGTTTTTTTAATTTTCATATCACATTTTAGAATATTAAGCCCCATTATTTGGCAAATAATGGTATTTTGTATAGGAGCTACAAATCCTGCACAA